GGGAATTATAGTAGATATTTCATCCTTTCAGTTATAAATAAGGATATTATATGGGTATATAAAATGGGAAAAAATTTAGTTCCTAATGGTTTCAGTTATCTTATATAATCGTTATAGGTGAATGAATAAATTACTTAAAAGGATGTTGTATGATGATTCTGTAAAATAAGTTAATACAAGAAATTATATATTCGGTTATTTATCAGGTCAGTCTTTTAACAAATATTTATTTATCATTTTTCTAAGTATTATTTATTGTACAATTGATTCTAAAGAAAATGTCACCCAGTGTGATTTACAATGCTAAAATCAGGGGTTCAATTCTCCTTGGTGGACACAGCAGATAGCCCTATGTGGCTTTTTTTTATAAACAAAACACACACATTTAAAGAAAAAATCAGTACACTTTCTTTCCTATTTAAATCATCAACCTTTTCATGTGATAACATAAAACTGGCACTGAGATAGTTATACTTTATCAGCCTGTTAAAATACTGAATGTTAAGCATTGACAGGAACACTCACATTTATGTTAAACTAAATATTGATACTTTAGTTTTAATTACTCTTATTTCTAATTGTGATTTTTATTCTTATGTTAGGGTTATTGTCATGGATCAAGGAAAAATTATTGAAACAGGTCCTCCTAAAAATCTTCTAGTACAGACACAGTCAGTGTTTTATGGCATGGCTAAGGATGCAGGACTGGCTTGATGGATGAAGAAAATTAATGAGCTGTCTCAATGTATGTATTTCTTTTGATACCAAGTTGATTTTTTAATAAAGTGTTAATGATCATGAAAGTATAAAATTACATGAAAAGGTAAGATTTAGCACGAAGGTTTTTCTTCAGGCGTGTGGAGAATAATCTTAATTATTTACGGAATATTTTAATTCTGAAATGTTGAAACTTTAATGTAGTTAACTAATAATAGAGTGGCTGATCATAAATCCTTGGTTGATGTAGGCTTAGTATGTGATTCTACCCATGTACATTGGATTTTCTGAAAACATAACTTTGTCCTTTTATCCTCCATTTCTAACGTTGAAATTTCTACCCAGGTAAATCAGTTGCTTGTTATTTCACCAAAATACAGAATTTACATACGTATATATATATGTGTGTTAATAGTAAACATAGAAGTTTATAAAAAATAAAATTGGGTGTATTGGCTTGTAGTTAGAGACCTTGAGCTTGAGTTCAGTTACAGAGTTATGAACTAGAACTGATTCTAGAACTATGTACGTAGAACTACTTTTATAAATGAAGTCAGATAAGATAAGGATACAAAGATAAAATGTGTATAATATTTTTAATATTCTTCAAAGGATTTTATCCTTAATTTACATTTTAGAAAGTGGAGTATTTTGATATGTACACTATATTCATAATAACATAAGTATTTTAGGTTTTAATTTGTTCACATGCCAATATTGTTAATCTCTAGTTAATGTTCAACAAGAAATCACTAAACATTTACTTAATAGATGAAGCTAATTATGGATATTTATTTAGAA